CCGCTAATAATAAAGGACATTTTTTTTGGCCCCACGGCACAGTGGTCTAATGCACCGGCTTATAATAATACAGGTACATTTTTGGCACACACGGCACAGTGGTCTAATGCACCCGCTAACAATACAAGCACATTTTTGGCATATCGAGCCAACATTGAGCACAAATAACTAGCTATCGACCAATTCTAAGGTCCTGCATAACTCCAGTCTAAAATGCGATGTAGCAAAGAAAAAAACGACTCGGAAAGAAGGTAAAGGCTGTGGTTGAGGGGTGAAGCAAGACGCAAAGATTGGAATTTCAACAGCTAGCTGCACGCTTCCGCGCCACTGCGATGTGAGGGTTAGCAATGCATATGGTAATACATACACCATTTAGGGATCTGCATGGCATAAGAGTGTGGTACATAATACAATTAAAAGGAAGAGCTACGCTCAGATTTTTTCGAAACCAAGGGTACTTACCTATTCAAACAATTTGGACCTATTCGATACACCAAGGGGTAATGATAAAACAAACATGCCAAGTAATCACCGGGATATTGTTCTGGGGATACCCAACGCTTCAGGTAGTGTTCAGAGGCGCCAGTCAGTCACCTGTAACCGCGACCATCCGCCCGCTCGCAACCATGAGCTGAGACTTGTGACCCCAAATACGGTCTGAAATGTTGGGTATTCTCATAATGTATCCGAACGATTGGCTGTATGTTCCTTAAGCAGCGCACCTGGTATACTGGAAGTCGGCTTACTTCGGTATAATAGAAGTCACACACCGGAAAACCAGGAGTTCGAGTTGATTCTCTATTACAATAAAAACAATATCTGCATTCGTCATGCCGTTAGCTACACTGTTTAGAGGTCACCTCCCGAAAAGCCAAGGAAACTCCATCGAAGTGACACGATGCAGTCCGCCTGCCGCTGTGACCGTGTGCAGCTGAGCAGAGGCGCTGGACGGACCCAGTATCGACCGGCCACTTAGTCTAATGGGCCAGCGTGCCCCGGACCGCGGCCAGGGCTCCTAATTATAGCGGGCGTCGGCGGCAGAGGAGCCGGCCGGACACGCCCGCAGCCCGCTGGCAGGTCATGGAATGCTGGTTCAGGCGACAGTCACGCACTCCACGCGACCCGGGCGAGGTCGGCACCGGCGCGCAGTCGCCCGCCGCCGACGGCAGGCACCGCGCGCCGGCAGCCACGCGTGTCACCGAGCCCGGCAGCCGGGGTGCGGGCACCGGACTGGGACAGAGGTGCGGGCATCGGACTGAGACAGGGGTGCGGGCACCGGACTGAGACAGGGGTGCGGGCACCGGACTGAGACAGAGGTGCGAGCACCGGATTGAGACAGGGGTGCGGGCAGGGGTGCGGGCACCGGACTGAGACAGAGGTGCGGGCACCGGACTGGGACAGAGGTGCGGGCACCGGACTGAGACAGAGGTGCGGGCACCGGACTGCGACAGGGACACGCACAAGACTGCGACAGGGACACGCACAGGACTGCGACAAAGACACGCACAGGACTGCGACAGGGGCACGCACCGGACTGAGATAGAGACACGCACCGGACTGAGACAGGGGTGCGCACCGGACTGAGACAGTGGTACGCACCGGACTGAGACAGTGGTACGCACCGGACTGAGACAGGGGTGCGCACCGGACTGAGACAGGGGTGCGCACCGGACTGAGACAGGGGTGCGCACCGGACTGAGACAGGGGTGCGCACCGGACTGTGACAGGGGTGCGCACCGGACTGAGACAGGGGTGCGCACCGGACTGAGACAGGGGTGCGCACCGGACTGTGACAGGGGTGCGCACCGGACTGAGACAGGGGTTGTGCACCGGACTGTGACAGGGGTGCGCACCGGACTGTAGTCTGGCGCGTGGGCCAGATTGATCGGAACACAGTTGGCTGGATTACCCCGTGTACCGATGCGCCCCGTACAGACGGGACGAGTTTTGTCTGTTTTGTCTGCCGCGACCTAGTGCAGCGTTGCAGCTTCCCGTCCACCTTTGGGTTGCGCCTCCCAGATGGCCTCACTGATCATAACAATAACCAGGCTCTAATTTGGGGGGCCACTGAGCGACAATGTGTGAATTACATTGACAGCATCAACATTCAGCTCCATGCGCGACTCACGACTATCCAACTTATCTATTCAACCAGATCAATATCCAGGGTTTCCTGTGTGCGCCCCAGAGTGCCTGTCTTGTACAACAGCGGTTGGCTACCGCCAGAGTTTGGCCGGACCGGGAGTGGGCCGTGCTCAGCGAACAGTCGGTCGGCGTCCCCGCACCGACCACTGGCACGCCCCGGTCGTCAGTGCCGGGGGCCGGCCACCGCATAGCCGGCGGGCACGCACGGCCACCACCTTAGGTATGCGGCAGAATGACCTCCGCTTACCGCGCGGCTCAGTGCTCAGGGACGCCCCAAAGATCGGAGCGCGAAGGGAGCGGATTGATCCCGTGTGGGTCTTGCATTCCAATCCGACTCACTGGGATGGCTTTGGATCGGAGGGATAATGAAAAAAGGTGGGGTCAATGTGCGGCTTTGAATCGGATTTGACTTTAGATTGACACCGCCTTGTGGCCTTTGATGGCCCGACAGGAAATCATCGAACGCTCTGTTAAAACACGTCAACTTTTGGCAATCCTGTTTGCATTTCAACTCTTCTCAACACCACTATCTCAAAACCATTGCACAATTCATTGAAAAATGAATCACTCTGAGGTGAACGAACAAGTGAAATCAGTGACTAAACAGTGGTAACGCGCGGCACTGGAGCACCTGTAAAAGCCCGTCACAAACGGATCAATCAACCAATGGCAAAGAATTCAACCTGTCGTAAAAAGCATGCCAACAATTTGTGAGTTGTCAGATGCAAACAACATTATGGGTTACGAATGGCCACCTAAACTTAACGTACTCATCTGATTCTGAAAGGTAAATACTTAAACTGGATAAAATGCAGGTTGATGCTCATCTGTAACAAACTCCTGTCGAATAGGGGATTTTGGGGTAACCTGGAACTTAATGAAATCATGGAGGTGGGTAACCAAGGAAGGACCGTGATAATAGACCAGAAAATCTAGAGCGCATGGGGGATGGGTGGTAGGACGCGGGAACACGTTTTATTGGACGATGTACTTTTAGCGCTACCTTACAGATATGAGCACTTGGTTTAGAAAATCAAACGTATCATCAGAAAATCAAAACTGCGCGTACGCCTAGCTTGGAAGGACGACAATAAACTAAAAAAGTATCTGGTGAAATGGTCCATCTCGAAGCCGAAGTGTCCGGGTGACAATAGGTGTCATTTATTTACGTCTGAGTTCCAAGGGGTTTGCACGCAAAAAAGTGGGTGACGAAATTAAGTGTAAAGTGTGTGAAAAACATGCGGAAGACATAGTCAATGTCGGGGAGTCCACGCGCTCTATTTATTAGATGTAATAAACGCCTGCGAGACGCTAAGAACAAAGCAGGGAATACCACCTTTCGGTAACCGTTTTGTGGACATAACACGCTCAGGCTGAAATCCAGGGAGATGATGAACCTTTGCCCCTTTCAAAGTTCAAAGTCATCAACGGAGCACGGGACCACCCAGACAGGAAAATAAATGAATCTATTCTTATAAAAAGTCAGCGGCCAACCCTTAACATACAAGGTTCATCATGGTCGATCATGCGAACGTGATATGTGCCTTGATGTGTGGTGCGTGCTTGCTTAAAATCACTTACATGTATAATTGATGCATGATGCGTGATGCGCGATGCTTGCTTATTTAAAATCGTTTGTATGTAGGATTGCTATATGATGTGTGATGCCTGTTTATTTGAACTCGTTTGTACGTTTGAATGAGCCGTGATACGTGATGCCTGTTAACTTGAATTCGTTTGCGTGTACACACATTTTTCGTGTACTATAATTCTTAGATATGCGCTGTATCGTAGAAACGACAGGCAATTGCCCCTTGTTTAATCCCCTGAATGTTGGTGACCTGTATAACCTGTGGCTCGCTGCTAAAAAAAAACCTGAAAAATCGAGTAGGATCATTGGCAAGCAATTTTGAATTTATTTCTGCTGTTCATTTCGATAAAGGCATGTTGCCGAAATATCAACGCATCTATATTTATATTCTACTGGTTTTTATACGAGGAATGAGGCCGTTACTGCTGTCTTATCTATGTGCATAACGCTCCTCGTAAATGCGCTTAACAACTTATGAAATCGGATTGGATCAACTTTGAAGGAAGTTTATGCGTTAGGATGGTACCTGGATCTGCCCTGACCGGATGAGGCTCGGATCAGATCGGACAAAAAAAACGCATCAGCTTTGCACCACGTCATCCCCGAGACGTAGACGACCACTGCTGCCCCCACCGCCTGTTCGCGTGGCTTGTGCGTATGACGAATGTATTCGCTTAGAACAGGCGCCTCCGGCACGCGGCCTGCTCACGGGCTGTAACACTAGGTGTGGCCTATAATGCGGCTCTCGTTGGCACGGCGATGTAATGTAGCCCCCGGGTGCAGATGCGTCGCAGGGATACTCATAGCTTACGTTTTAAACCGTCCGCAGGACTCGCGGACGAATCGACACAAAACAATCCACGTAATTGCATAATCGTAGTTATGAACGTAATAGACAGGGGCCGTCCCATCCGACACTACCCATGGTGGGGTGGATCCACACCCTCGCTTCCGTCGAATTCCCCGCTGTCCGCCTCGACCACACCGCGTCGGCCCGCACGCACCTGGTGAGCCGTCAGACCCACAAAACGTACCCGGCCTCAGTCTCGGCGGCCGCCTCGTCCACACCGCGTCGGCCTGCCCGCACCTGGTGAGCCGTCAGAGCCACAAAACGTACCCGGCCTCGGTCTCGGCGGCCGCCTCGTCCACACCGCGTCGGCCCGCCCGCACCTGGTGAGCCGTCAGAGCCACAAAACGTACCCGGCCTCGGTCTCGGCGGCCGCCTCGTCCACACCGCGTCGGCCCGCCCGCACCTGGTGAGCCGTCAGACCCACAAAACGTACCCGGTCTCGGTCTCGGCGGGCTGCGTCTGCGGCGTCACCTCCAGTGGCTCCAGCAGGTTGTTCCGGTTGCCGCTGGGCATGCGGCCTGGCTTGAGGTAGCGGCTGGGCGGCCGCGCCTCCACCACCTCCTCCATCTCGATGTTGTCGCCGGACCTGCCAGCGTCCTCTGTCAGCTTGGTCATGGCAGGCGGTAGGGGATGGTGGTGCATGCGACGACATGGACGTGACGTCACTGGAACCTGGGACGTGACGTCACCAGAGCATGAGACTTGACGTCACCGGGGACCTTGGAGGTGCCGCCACCAGCGACCTGTTGTGTGAAGACGTCGAAGACCTGGGATGTGACGTTATCGGAGGTCCGGGATGCAGCGTTATCGGAGACCTGAGGCATAACGTCACTGGTGACGTGAGATGTGATGTCATCGGGACCTGCCCGGCGATGACGACACGATACGGACTACACCGTGAGTAGGACCGATGTAACGGCTTCTCGAAATTAGACATGATTCCGTTGTCCTGTATTGCCTCGTTCCTGCTTCTTTGTTTCGTTATACCTCCCAGTCCGTTTTAAAAAGGCGGGGCGAGGATCAAGTAGCACTATTTACGTTGCTGTCAGTGGACGAAGACATTTGGCCAGATTGTAGCGTTCTGGTGATATGAAGGTAACTCTCACGATGCCAACGTCATGTTTGCTATCCAAAAATTGTGATGTAATCATCTCAAGCATTACGAGTTCATTTTAATATAAGTTCTTTGTCTTGACTTGCCCTTGCCAAAACCCTTTTTAATGATTTGGCACAGCATTACTCTTATTGAGCCATACAAAAATATTCAGTGAAAGGCAGTGAAAGCTGTGCTGATGATTTACAATTGGTAAAACATTTGTTCTAGAAGTTGTCGCTGCATACGAAACAACATTTCCGACGATTTTTGATGTCGACATGGTTCTTATGTAAATTCAGCATTATGCGGTGGTACGAGCTTTACGACAGGGCCTCGAAACTGCGGCGATAACCAGCCGTCAGCTGAACAAAACGGCGCTAAATTGGATAGATCTCCTTCGTGCTGGATGTGAGTTGAGACTGATAGTTATATCAACCATTCGCACACGTCGCAGTGACTTTTTGGGCTGCGATTTTGTGGCCTTCTAGTTAAAAATGATTTGAACGGAAAGCGTTTTTACTCGACCCGATACAACCATGGAATATGGGTTTGCGTTGGCTGCTCCGGGGTTCATGTACATAAACCATACTCACCTAAGGGGGTCAGCGGTAAATCAAATAAGAACATCTCGTCGAGGTGGCTTGACAGCTTGTTGCTTGCTTGTTGTTGAAGGCAGTTATACGGTTCTCCCAACGACGCTGCTAGATCATCGCACATGATGATACTGCTGCAATACCACCTCTACTTGATACCATGGCCAACGCTCAGATGCTACACAACAGTACTTCTACAGTCAACACCTATATACCGACATCAGTGCTACACGAAATACTGGCTACAGAAATACTTCTAACGACCCAACTGCTACATGCCCGTCGGAGTATCTAAAATTTTAATCAGATCGTTTTAAGAGCACATTTTAGGGGAGTTGCACTATGACTACCACGTGATGAACTCAGCATGACTGGCAAGGGTGGCCAACATTCGCACATGACAGAGTTTCGTTAACTACTCAGTCATTGGGCTATCGGGCGTTTCGACCGTACGGTCATGCAATGCCCCAGTGACGTAAGAGTTTCACGATTTGCATCTCATCTCATCCCATCCCTGTTTTACATCTCTGGGACTTCGGTCTGAGACTTGCATAGGAGACCTCTGTATCCCATCAGCGCTGAGTATAAAACTAGCAATAACAACAGTTAAAAAATCCATTTAAATGATAACTATACAGTGTTAGATTCTTGAAGATGCCCATGTGCGTTGGTTTGCACCATGCATTTTGACCACTTCTGTTTCAAACATAACATTATACGCATATGGCCATGTCATGTGTGACAGCTGTTCAAAAAGCTCCCTTGAGTTATCTAATTTTCCCAGCTCTCGAACTGTAGCTGGTGCCAGTGGGCTGCCGGCCGCATGTTTGGTGTCCTCTGCGAATTATGCATGTGCAAACAGCAGCAAATGTCCACGGAGCTTAGACAACGACTGGAAATTGGCTGACCTTTCGGAGCGTCACATTACAAACAGCTCTGTCAGAAGACAAAAGTTCTCCCCTTCTAGTCTTGCAATATTCTATTCAGTGGGCTGCCGAGACAAACAGTCTTCATGCGGCATCGATTTATGACAGCCTCACATACGCATGACATCTGTTTGCAGCTTTTGGTCGGTCACGAGTGTAGACATTTCCACATTATCGTAGCGCCAAACTGGGCTTATCTATGATTTGCCCAGGTGTGCTGTCAGAGATTGGCACGTAGGGCCAAGTTCCAGGCAAACGTTCGAAAAGGCGCGGTTGAATACGAATAAGACTGCAGCGGCGCGCTCTTCTGCCATTTACATCTCGGTCTGTACTCTGTACCTGTCTGTACTCCTCTCAGCGCATATCGGCGTGTGAAGACTGTACGAGAACAGCAATATCAGATCGCTCTCAGAACAGAGTACAGATGCCAGGCGAAGCCAAGAAATGCTTTCGAGGTGAGATGCGCCTAGGCATAAAGAAAAGCAGTTCAAGGCACCTGGCAATATGAAGAAATGAAGTGGTAGGCAGAAAGTTCTACATCAAATGCCGCCAAGTGGGTCATGGCATCCCACTGTTTACAACCCACTGCTTCAGTATTGGCGCCACCCTGGTCATATCTGCGCACGCTGCAGTTATAGGGATGAGCACATGAATTTCATAGGGCTTGTCGCATTTCCCCTCGTATCGAGCCATTCGGACACCTCTGCAGCACAACGTGTCAAAGGAGGCGGGAGTTTTCCCGGTTCCGCCCGATCACACCGAGGAAGCTCTGCCTGCTCACAACATATAGCACAGCGCCGGCAATGCATAGCAAGGTGCCGATCGGGCCGGCCTGGGACGGCTGGCCAGGCCCGGCTCCGAGCGAGCACCCAGCCGCCGCGCCGCCCCGCGCCTCATGCGAGCCAGCGACACGGACTGCGCCGTCGCTCACCGCCCTCAGCAGACGGTCTCGCCCTCGCCGCCCGCCTCCTCTTCGTCACCGGAACCGTGACCATCGACCGACAGAAGGCCGACGGAGCTGGGGACACGGCCACGAGGTGACCCATCGCCGCGCCGCCGCCGCTACGGCGGCGCGCTTCAGGGCGCGGGCGAATGACATGTTATCGCCGGCTGTAAAAGGTGACGTGCGTCCGGGATTGCAGTGTCACCCGTATCGATCACACTTAAGGAAGCTATGTGGCAGCTGCTGGGGGAGCACACGTCGGAATAGGGAATGAACAACGGTTTCTGATAGGTCCACTTTCAGTGCTCTGTGAACGTTTCCATCAACGTAAGTGAGCAGCCATGAGCAACGTGACACACGCTGGCCCGGTTTCATCAAAACAGAAAACCGGTCGATGTGACCAGCTTGCAAAAACAAACCATTCTTCACCTGAAAAGCAGTACTAGTCGATGGTAAGCGATACACCGTCATGCTAAGCAATGCCCAAACGAATGCATGTTGTTACTCTGCATCTGGCGGCCAGCCCCACAACGGCTGGCTAGAGGCCAGCAAGTTGGCCGCGACGTCTCATCGGTCGCCATCCGAGCCAATACAGGCCCAGTCTCGTCATCAGCAGTCTGTCTCAGCTGGTAGCGAGTCTCGTCATCAGCAGCCTGTCTCAGCAGGTACCGAGACTCGTCATCAGCAGTTCGAGTCAGCAGACGCTGGGTTTCGTCATCAGCAGCCTGTGTTAGCGGCTGTCCAGTCTTGTCATCAGCAGCCTGTGTCAGCAGCTGTCGAGTCTCTTCAGGAGCAGGTTGGGTTAGCAGATACTGAATCCCACTCACCCGCTCTCCTTGCGCCGCTCCCTAGACAGTCGCATCACTGTGGCATTGATCTTGCTGGAGATGGACTTGATGGAGTACGTGCTAGTGGCGTTGCTACGCGTGGCCACTTGCTCCTGCTCGCGCTCCAGTAGACACTGCGCCTTCTCCTCCAGCTCCTGCAGCGCCGCGGCCGCCTCCTTCCGTTTCATGCGGTGGTAGGCGTGCACGAGGAACGCCACCGACACGCCGAAAGCGATCAGCGGCCCGATGATGGAGAGCAGCAGGCTGTGCTCGATCTCGGCCGGGTCCAGAGCCGTAATCACCAGCGTGGCGTCCACCCGGCTGTAGTAGCACGGGAACGTGGTGTTCACAGCGCGGTAGGTCTGCGCGAACACCGTGCAGTTGAGCGACGGTGGGTAGCCGCAGCCCTTGACGTTTGGGTAGAGGAAAGCCTCGTTGTGCAGCCACTGGTGGTCGACCGGGCGCCGGCTGCAGGAGAAGTTCTTGGCGTCGGTGTAGGCCACCAGGATCTTGACGCACTCGAACACCTCTCGCGTGCAGCCCTCGCGGCACGAGCTCCACTTGGAGCAGTTGTGTGCGCCGGAGTCCTCCTGGTACGAGACCACGCAGCACGTGACCGGGTCCAGCGCAAAGTCCATCTGGATGGTAGTCACGGCTGGCTCGATCACAAACGGCACTAGGAAGAGGAAGCCGAAGAAGGCGCCGATCGCCAGCAAGCTGAAGAACACGGTGGAGTAGAAGTTGATTTTCTCGACGTTTTCCTCGTACTTCTGACGCAGCCGCTGCCGCAGGTTCAGTAGCGGTGGAGGCAGCTCCTCCTCCTCCTGCTCGTCATCGTCCTCGTCCGACAGCCGGCTGTGCTCGGCCGAGATCGTCATGACGTCACGGCATGGCCGCTCGTGGGAGGTCGCGACACACCTCACCTGCGACGGACCGTCGGTGTAAGTGTGCGCAGTCCACGAGGCTTTGCAGATGTTTGAAATATGTGATCTTATCTGTTGAAACGTTTGAATAGGATCACTACTGTACATCTGGTTGAGAGAATGCAGCGGGCATCCGCATTCGCTTGCCGTCTTCCCACCAAAATTCAAGAACCAGCAGAGTGTCCTACAAATGGCTTTAATGGTGTCAAAATGTGGGCAGCACTTTGCTGTATCATCTACCCACTGTGTATGCAATTTTAAGCGTCCGCTTTACCGCGCCTTGCACGTTGCGTGTGTTACATGAGAAGACAACTGCACATTTTGTCAGCTCCTTGTGTGTTTATTCCATCCTTGTTGAGTTTTCAATATCAGATAATTTGTGGACGCTAATCTAAAGATAACAAATTAAATCATCACCAACAGCCATTCATATGAGTCTAAGTTAGGAAATGTTTCAAGAGGACCCATCCCCAATTTCACAGGTTTGTAGCACACAGGACACGCATATGACTAACAAATGAGAAGCGCGCTCCTCCAGGCACCGTTAAACGCGCAACAGCTGTGAACAGATGACGTCACGTCAAAACGTCATCGCAGAACATAACGTCGGACCACGACAACAGCTTTTCAGAGAGTCTTTTTCCCTACGTCCCTTCCGTGACGAATTTCAGACAGTGGTTACTATGTTGACATGGGATGGCTGAAAAGTCCATGGTGATGCATAAACTAAACTGTTTGTTGACGTCAAACATTGTTTCTCTGATGATGGTCACTTCCCAGAGCTGTAGATGGTGTTTGTCTTTACTCGTTTTCAGGATCTGTGTCTTTTCGATTGAGGGCGTAGGGGTTGTTTTACTGGAACGTGATTTGAGGTTGTGAGTTTTACGCGTATGCCGGTCTGGTGCCTTCTCCACGAGACGCATAGGCATTAGTCATGGTATAAATATTGTAATGTTCCGATGTGGGTCAAACTGCTGAGCCGGTGATTTTCCGTATGGACGCTATGGAAATTTAGACAAATTCATGTTTTACTGCCCTAGAGCTTTTGAGTAACGTCTAGGATAATTTGGGCATTCCGTTAAGGGAGGAAGACAGACGATAGTGAAATGTGTGAGTGCGTCCCTCATAATATGCATAAATCTTCATCCAGTATTTTTTACGCAAGTGTTTTAAAATATCAACTTCAGCGTTTTACTCGCTCCGTCTAATGTGACACACTTGACTGGGCTCATTTCAGACACAAAACATTAAGTCTCCATTTGAGGTTGTCAAAGGACAAAAAGGGCTTCATTCGCCGTAAATGATGACGATAAAGCAAAATATTTTTGAGACGCCTCCTGCACCTTATGCACGGAGAACTAACCGCAACAAACTTGGGATTGCAGATGCAAAATAAGCACGGGCCCTCATTGACTTCAAGGCCAGTTCACTAGGTGGCTGCACCTTAAACAATATATATATATATATATATATATATATATATATATATATATATATATATATATATAGGTCAACCCGCAAGACAAAGCCCTCGTGCTGGGAACCACCGGCTGCACTCAGTTGCCCGATCACGGCCGTAAGCAACCGGCAAATTCAACCAAATTTAGAATACATTTAAGCTAGCATTGTGCAACGATGTGTACACATGGGTCACACCATCACAGCTCTGTTCAGTTGGCATTTTACTATCAGGACAGAGCTGAATAACTATTATATATAAACAGACATTATACATTCTGAATGCACTCGCCGTATGGATGGGAAAGAGAACGGTGAGGGTCAAATTTTCCCAAGAGCAGACAGTGCAAAAGTACGAAGTGAGATATGGGCAGTGCACAAGCGTCGTGAATATATGCCCCTATCTATTTGTCATGCTATTGCTGCGGGATTTATTTGGAAAATAATACACATCACAGTAATGACTTATGCCAACGTACGAAAAACAAGTAAGGCATTGGTTAGAAATGTCACTAAGCTCATTTAACAATGCTTTTTTGCCACGGAAAACAGCTTTCCCCACAGCAGCTACTAGGAAACGTGTTAATGACAGTTGTTCCTTCTCACCTTTTCGGGTGAAGAAAAACAGCTGCGTCAAACAGATTTGCTCCACTTGGCTTTCAGAAAACGCCCCCCACAAGATGATGCCAAGCACCCGCACATCCACCAGCGGCGTGCAGTATGAGTCTCCACACCATAACCACACACAGCAAAGAGATTGTAGGGGTGCCTACCCTCCACCAAGGCTGACCTCCTACGTCCAATGCAGAGCGAACCTATGTTGGGGCGGCGACATACCTGGGCAGGGGGCTGCCGTCCATGTCCAGTGGCAGCGGCCGGGCGCGGCTCGTCGACGCGGCGGAATCGATCACCCCTCCCCACGCCCCTCCCCACCCGGCCACCAATCCCAGGCGGCGGCGGCGCGCGGCCGACGGAACGCGTCGCACCACCGGCACGAGAGCGTCCGCAACCAGGGCGCCGCACGCGGGGCCGTGCAGGCATGTCCGTGGCCTCCGCACGCTTCCCACAGCATGTAAAGGGCCTGCCCATGCCGACCGCAGCTATCCGGGGGATCCCTACGCCACCCACGGTATGTCCGGGATCTCCGCGAACCGCCCACAGAGTACTCATGGCCTCCACACGCCGTCCACAGCATACCCATGGCCTCCACACGCCGTCCACAGCATACCCATGGCCTCCACACGCCGCCCACAGCATACCCATGGCCTCCGCATGCCACCTATAGCATACCCATGGCCTCCATACGTCGCTCACAGCATACCCATGGCCTCCGCATGCCACCTATAGCATCAAAAGGGGAGCACTCGCCGTCGCCAAGTGCTCCCTATGCCGTGGGTCTTTCTACTATGCAGCGTCGAGCGAGCTTCATAGAGGTATTGGGCGCGCCAAAACATCATGCTTGGATTAAGCATGTGCAAAGCCGCGGCATGCTTATCAGATTATATCATATGCCTTATAGCCAGCAGCGCCCCTTTGGGCTGTATAATTCTGCAAAGTTTGACCACGACATGGCGGCTAAGTAAGTAATACGCACTTCCATAACTTTCATCGTGGCAGCGTTAGACCACGGGATCACGTCCAGCGACGAAGCCCGATGTGGCATCAATTTGACTGTTCTGTGTGTGTTGAGGTGGAAAGACCAGTTTTAGAATGTGAGGTATCTTCTTGTTTTTACAAAAACATAGGATTAGAGCACGATGTTGGTATCCACTTTCACATGTTTCATACCGTCACACAGATTCCACCCAATCATTGCACTCTCAGTGATAGCTACAGCTTAAGGGCTGTAGCAGATGCATTTCTGCCACTCCGCAGGCTCATGAAATGACAACAAAAATAGCTTTCTCCTTCATTGTGTGTAGCCTAAACGTTGAAATCATACATCTATTTGCCCATTATTCAGAGTTAGCCTACTGCAATACGAAACTCCGCCGGTGCCATGACAATAGCTTGTATCGTTTACGCGCTTGATAATGCAATGATACTGTATAATGGTGTTACAATCGGAACCACCTCTGTAAATGATGCGCAACATTTGATCCGAAAATATCAGGACCAGTAGTCAGTTGACAAACTTTAAAACTTCATGTGTATCAGGATCAGGATCAGAATTATGTGCATGTGCTGATACGTCATGTATCGCCGAAATATGATAAGTTAGAGAGTGGTGCAAACAGAAGAAGCAAATAATTAAAAGATCGTGATTTAAATGAGCATACAGCTTAAATCCAACGAAAGAAGCGAACACAAACGGTGTACCATTTTGGTCAGTCAATTTTGACATTTGCATTTATGCACATATATGGTTTTGAGTCATCCACGTCCCACACACGAACGATTGGAATGGTTTTGGTCGCCTAGATCAATGAATGTTAATGGACGAAGCAGTGTCGAAAACATTGTTTCGGAACAGAGTCCAATTTCTAATTGGCTTTAGCTTGGCATTGCCGTGCCAAGCTATATCAACATTTCCCCACATTTTCTATAACCACGCGGTAGCGTTAAGCGCACGCAGATCTGGATCAGCCTGGAGAGACAGAGCAACGCACTGGTAATGCACTAAAGGATTGTAGGCAGAAGTATTTCGGCGCTTTGAATGTCTTTGAGAAGAGAGCACGGATCGGACGTTGCAGATGATCATCTGCGCAGATCGTTTTCAACTGCCAATATCCTGCCGAAGACAAAATGGTTACCTGTGGAGGCTGCGTATTGCACTTCACGTGGCTTGTTTACCTCTGCCCAGCTGAGGATGAAGTACCCAACTCGACACAAACGCATCACGACGAGCACCATTGACAGAAGCGTTACTTTATGTATCTTCGGGGGACTGACCCTGCTGCTGATTTGTGCCCCCTCCAAGTGCTTATATGGGCCCATCAATGGATTCAACGAAAATGGAATACTGCGTTTAAGAAATTCAGAAAGTAATTGTAACGGTTGGTACACTAGGTAGGCACCTTTACGCACCACTATTAGTGTTCTGTTTATTTTGTGACAGATAGCACACCATAGAGATAGCGTTTTTTCATACGGACTGCTTCGCACGTTGGGGTGGTCTGCAAATGTGCGAAAGATTTTTCAAACACTTCAGATGGCTCAAGTGAATTAAGATAAAAAAAACAGCTGACTGCAGTATGCGGCAGCTTTGAACCCGCGCCCGATTCGCCGTTTTTCACAACGCGGACTGATGGTGAAGTAGGACGGTTGATGGGACCCCTTGGCGTTCCCAAACTAACAACGATAGGCCTTCGCGGAAAGCAACTCTGGGTGGGCACTGATGAGATCTCGCTATCTGTATCGCATTGGGCCAATAATTGACCTCATTATGTCAGGCCAAACACCGCATTGTCCAGAACTTCTTACTTTCAAGGCTTGTGCCTCGTTGCGGCACAAACCTAATCCATGCGTATTCATTGTTCAATGCTGAGTACAATGATGTCTCTTTTTATATATATGTTTTGAGCATACATTCATTATATACAGCTTCGTTAATGTAGCAATGTCGGCCCGCTGCGCGCGTTCCGCGACCTCGTCGGTTGCCATCCGCCTGTTTAGGCCGTAGATCGCCGTGCAGTGTTCCTTAAAATCCTCCGCTGCTCCAAAATCAGAAAGGCTAGAAGCGTAATTTTTTGTCAAAACACGTGCAATAAATGCTCTATAGGCTAATTATATGTTCATTTAAAATTATATATATATATATATATATGTATTATTATAATTTTGGCGCAGTTGCACAACCTTCTGGAGAGGTATCCACAAAAACTTTAACAGGGTTGCATCAACCCCTACACCTATCAGGGCGACATTTTAAAGTACAGGGTAGCCCAAATAAAAATAAGCCCACGTTTTCCTCAACAGTGGCGAAGGTATTTGTCGTACAATCGTGACTGTCATATGTTATAACTCTCACACGAATGTGTGATTTTCATATTTCATATGATATCACCGCACAGTCATATATCATATGCCTTCGTGACACTCGAGTGTTAAATGAATGGCAAAGACAGTCAGCGACGGCGGTAGTCATCAGTGATTCCCCCAGCGACGGCGGTAGTCATCAGTGATTCCCCTCCCGTCAGATCATGACAACGAAAGGTGCTTCAAATGGGACTCCTGGCGGTCCAGGGCACAAAAACGTTAGGCCTGCTGCAGGTAGTCCATAGTTCGGTCGAACCTCGTGGTCGATCGTCCGATAGAACCACGTCCACGGTGATGCACCCCATCTTAGCCCAAAGGTGGCCTTGATCTTTTGAAGGCTCGCTGGCATGTGACGTGGGCGTGGTTCCTGAAAGGTTACCACACAGCATTAAGCCCAAGGGCGACGGGTCGGACGGGTGAGAGGCCCCAGCGTGGCAGTCTTAAGCTGATGTGCATTGCAGCGAAATAATTCTCGAACCGATCCAGAGAGGCCCGTGCCATATGCGGCGGTGTCCCGGCCTGCTGGAGGCATTCCCCGTCCCGATCGATCCCCTGAAGTCGTCCCAGGGCCGCCCGGAAGGCTACCTAAGAGGTAGCCATATAGAGCTCTGAGATGGTGTGGACAATATACACGTTCTTGTCCTCAAAGAGGGATCTTCTAGAGAGTGATTACTTCACAAATGTGTGATCACTGATGACTACCACATTTGCCATTGACTGGCCATTTTGTCATCACATACCCATGTTGTCATTTTATGACCATTTTGCCATTGGACGGTTATTTTGCGATTGGATGGTCATTCGAGTGCCACCACACTCTTGCGCGAGGAATACGTTTGTCAGTGCTGAGTAAAACGTGGGGTTAATTTTTAGACGGGACACCCCGTGTACAAAGTAGTTTTGCATAAACATGGCTGTTTATTTAGCCTTCCTACGACTTCTTTGCGAATCAGATGAATTGTTAACCAAGAACTTGCGGCTTAATCAGGAGATCACGAACTCCATGTTCCATGCATTCGTTCTCATGAAAAGAGTAGTTATTTTAGGACGTCTGCGTTCCCATGATTGGGGATCAAGAGGTATACACACTGTCCTCCATTTGTGATGCAAAGATTGCTTCCTCGCATCAATGGGATTTTCGAAAGATTTAATCCGATCCTTTTGAGTGGATGGATTTCTGGGATCAGAGCTCACGCTGAGCAGTGCCTGTCGCGTAAGCTCTGACTCCTACCATCCGATCGCGCAATTTCATGCCAAGGACAGAATTTGGTGTCGAAAGCTTGACGTGCCGCTATGTTCACCACGGCCCGTCCTGCCCAGTGACGTCACCTGACTTTTATCGCGGCCGCTGGCACCGGCCGCAGGCCAAACCCGTCAGGGCCAAACAACGAGCACCTGAAGCGACTCGATCCCACCCGCCACGGGTGGTTGAATTGGGAGGCGGGCGCTCTAACCAACTGAGCCATCGGGACGGACTGAAGCCATCAGGCCGGACGGGATGTGCGGAATTGTAATGCGATATGATTCAGGTGACCATGATTTCTTGCAGATTTACTCCAAACGTTTTGCTGGGATGTTTTCTGGGATGAGCGCAAACGCAAAGCAGTTAAAGATGTGGCGATGGTCGGCACGGTCCGTGCTGCCCTTTGACGGTGCCTTGACTGCAGCCCGTCCGCTGCCACCGGTCGCAGGTGTGGCGATGGTCGGCACGGTCCATGCTGCCCTTTGACGGTACCTTGACTATAGCCCGTCCGCTGCCACCGGTCGCAGGTGTGGCGATGGTCGGCACGGTCCATGCTGCCCTTTGACGGTGCCTTGACTGCAGCCCGTCCGCTGCCACCGGTCGCAGGTGTGGCGATGGTCGGCACGGTCCATGCTGCCCTTTGACGGTACCTTAACTATAGCCCGTC